AAAAAAAAAAAAAAAAAGAAAGAAGAAGAAGAAGAGAGCCATTGGCCTCTTTCATCCAACAGCTTAAATGTAGAGGGACAAGTTCATTAAAAGAAAATGTTCTAATGGTGGTGTAACTCTATCTTTGCTATCTTTTTGTAGAGAACAATAAAAAAGAACTCCTACATTTGGAAATACACATTAAGGTTGATCCCAAAATCATTTTAGGGTTTAACTTCAACAAAACCATGTCATCATGAGTTGTAACGTCAAAACAAAACAACTGTTTTTTACCAATAATTTTAGAATCAACTTAGACCAAATTTCATATCTACTTTCCTCATCATTTGCAAATCATGTTGTCATCAAAGATGAGATTTTTACCTAAAGTTGACATTATCCAATTAAATGGGACCGCATAAAACACCAATTCCTTGGTGGGTCACTTCTCCACACCAATGAACTACTTCTTTATTTTTGTTTTCTTATTTTTCTTTGGATTTAACAATAAAAATGAAAATTCTGAATTTGTGTTATAAACAAACAAATAAAAAAAAAAATTACCTCTAACTCAATTTTTTTTTTTGGAGGATATATAAGAGAAACAATTTTAATGCACATCATTCAAATGTGATGCAATCTAAATTAAAATTTTTTTTAAAAAATAAAATTATTATTAATTTATTTAGGTAGTCGGCAGTCCAAAAACTCAAGTATCCTGAGCCAGTAAAATTTTATAGACATAGCTGGTGCACTCTGTTTGGCTGGGCTTGTTTGCAAGCTTCAATGATAGCAAAATTTTCATTTCCTGTTTCTTCCCATCTGATGCGGAACGGAAGAAATGCTGGCCAAAAATTCAACCCAAAAAGAGTGATCTCCCAAACAGATATCTATTTCCAATTTTTGATCCCTTTATTAAATTCTTCATTTATTGTCCGGTTGCAGATTCGACGTACTCCATGGTGATCGACCCTTACAGTTGGTGGTTTCTCATTTGCTATCCAATCCATGATATTATTTCCTTTTCTCTAGTCTAATTTTCGAGGGTCTTCCCTCGTGCATTTTTTCATTGTCGGCATTAATTTGCTTTACTTCTTGCTGTTGGGTGTAGGCGTCCCACTTCATGTGGATTCAGTTTTGGCATTTATTAGCCTTAATTTCTGCATTTTGACGAATACCCATTTTTGTTTCCCCTCTTTTTTGGGTTTTTCCTTCCTGGGTTATTGCCTTCTGTATTGATTAGCTTCGGCGCTTCATTATTTTCGAGTACCCATTTGCATTTCCCCTCGTTTTTGGGTTTCTCCTTCTTGGGTTGGTGCCTTCTGCATTGATTAGCTTCGGCGCTTCATTATTTTTGAGTACCTGTTTTCTCTGGTCCTTGCTTTTGCTTTTGGGCTTCTCTTTCGTGGGTTGTTGACTTCTTAATCGATCAAGTATTGCTCAGCCTTGTTTTCTTCATCAATATACATACATATTAATCTTGTGTCCGTTTCTTCTTCGTATGTGAAGTCATCGATCCTCGTGGTAATCTATCAGTCCCATTTCAATGGGTCTTCTCTTCCTTGCTCAATCTTGCATTTTGAGATTCCCCTCCCCTCCCTCACCCCCTCCCCCGTTTCTTTTTTCTTTCTTTTTTGGGATTTCTTGTTATGTCTGTAAACTATAATTACTCTCAGGTAACTTATGCTGGGGTTTTGCATTGGTTGTTACACATCTCAATTGATTATCCATTACATTTACATGCTCATTTGATTCTCTTGCAGGATTATTTGTTTTCTCTTTAATTATGGAGTTGTATTTTTGGGGTTAATCCTTAAATCTGACCCTTGTTTATGTGTAATTTGATTTCATTCTTGAACTTACTGTGTTAAAAGGAAGAGATTCTGCCTAAATGTTTTCAGAATATAATGAAGAATAGTATCAGTTTGTACATCTATTGTATACATTTATACATGTCTAAATTGATAATCTATATCACTTTTTTGTTTATTTATTTATTTATGATCTCTCAACTACATGATATCAGATTTTTTGAAACTACTGTATGAGTAGAGGACTTGACCAACTTTATGCTTTAGAAGCTATCATGGTAGTGCCAGTTTGGTACCTCAAAGCTTTTAGATATGTATCTCCTGTAGCTTTTGAGTCGTCTGGTGGCTAGCAGAATTTGCTATCAAGTTTTTGTGATGCATCATTCATTTTTTTCTTAAAATATTGAAACTGCATCATGTTTGTAGAAACTTGATGCGTGAAAATCTATCCTTTTTCTGGATGGATTGATACTTTACATAAACTCGTTTGGAACTCAAGATGAATGTGTTCTATTGTTTCTGTTTTCTACTTATTAACTACTTATTTGTATGTGTTATAGGAAAGATGGAAGGCAGAATGAAAAAGGGAAGAAAATAGGAGCAATACTCTGTCCATTAGACATATAGTTATAGGACTGCGTTATCATGGGAGTATCTCAAGAAACAGTCATGGCTATGAAGTCTTACCAAAATCAGGCTCGGGTACTGGTCAAGAACTACTTGCTAGCTGATCCATTCATTCCTTACACTTCCATCCTTGCTGGCATACTTGCTTGCAAAGTGGTACATTCAATCTTTCTTTTATATATGTCAGATTTCTTTAAATTAGGGATATCTGCCTGATAAAGGCTGTTTAATGGAGCATGCAGTTATGAATGTTCTGGTAATGAAACAGTTATGCAGTTATGTATTTTCCTTTCGATAGCTCATTACACATGTTTTTACTGGTCTATTAGGCCTATGATCTTACTCAGTTAATCAGCAGTTCCTATATCAAGACTTACCCAGGTCTTACAAAAATGCAAAAGATGGAGTGGAACAATCGGTAAGCATGTAATGTAATCTAGTTTATACTTTTCCTTCGTCCAAAATCACAGTGATGCCATACTGATAAATAATCCACTTTGGCAGTGGTATCTCTACAATTCATGCCACTTTTATCACAGCAATGTCATTGTACCTGATATTCTGGTCAGATCTCTTTTCTGATCAACAGCTTGCTGGTCTTGTTACCTTCCGAAGCTCACTACTCTCTACTTTTGGATTGGGGGTAAGTGGTTTTGTTTGTATCCCATCTTCAAAACATTCCCTTCCCTTCCCTTGCTGCCCCCCCACATCACCAAAAAAAAAATACTGAAGGTTTTCATGGCTCTTTTTCTCCTAGTATATAGTTTAACTTTACATTCTATACGCACGGTAAATCAAGATTACTATGGTCAGGGATCAACATGTCCAACATATTTAATGAATAGCCAGTCTTGTATCATCCTTATGCAGCTTCTGCTTTGCAGTTAGTTCATAATGGTGGCACATTTATCTTTTCCCCCAAAAGACTAAAAGAGTCATCCATCTTCATGTCTCTTTTCATGAATGGAGATTAGCATGGCCTTCTCATGGATAGGGACTGTTTGAACTGTGTAATAATATCAGAAACCTCTGCTTCCTGTCTGCCAAAACATGTTGAGAAGGAATATCCTCATTGAACTCAGTCAGAACTTTTCTAGATAAATTTGCACTCCCAGCTTATGCTTCAATACCTATGATGTACTGCTCTTGATGATGCTTGACAGGTATCTGTTGGATACTTCGTCACAGATCTTGCAGTGATTTTGTGGCTGTATCCTTCTTTGGGCGGATTAGAATATGTAAGTGTAACTTTAGATTGAAATGACTCTGGTTTATATTTTATATTGAAATTGCTCTGTTATTTTCATATTTGATGAATAAGGGTAACACTTCAACTGATTGTTCATATACCTGACTATTTGTCAAATATAAGAGGGCACATTCTTAAGCTGCTATTTTAGTGCATTCTTTGAGCCATGTAGTATACCTTATAACATACTAGCATCTCATTTCAGGTTGTCCACCACTCCTTTTCAGTAATTGCAGTGGCATATTCAATGTTCACTGGAGAAGCACAGCTTTATACATACATGATTCTCATCTCTGAGGTGACAACTCCAGAGATTAATATGAGATGGTAGGTTCTGACAAGTTGAGTTTTGCTTAGGTTTTGAAATTCTGACTTCAAGTATGTCATTAATCTATTGTGAAGGTATCTTGACACGGTTGGTATGAAGAGGTCCAGTGCATATCTCATTAATGGTGTTGTGATCTTTGTTGCCTGGCTGGTGAGTTTCACTTCACTTCAATTTTCAATAAGGGCATGCTTTGCTATTTGTTGCACCATATGTCCCATTCCTCAGGGAAAAAGAGAGAGAAGAAAAGAGAATAAGAATGGGAGGCAATGTCTAAGGCAGTCAAAATTCTTTCCTCATTGACATAGTGATATAAATTATTCATTGCAGGGAGCGAGAGTTTTGCTGTTTATTTACATGTTTTACCACGTCTACTTGCACTATGATCAGGTAATCGTCCCACCCTTGAGATTGTACACCATAATTCCAGATCTTTTATTTGTCAAACAAGTGTCTCAGCTTGAGTAACGTTTCTCTATTGGGATTTTTAATTATGGTCTCCATCAAACCTGGTTCCGTTAAGCAGCAGGTGCAAAATAGGGAAATAAGTTTAGAAGTTGGAATTTCTTATTTAGTAACAATTCCAATTGTCAATGAGCATGCAGTGTGAAATTTTCCCTTTTATATTTTACTCTTCCCATCTGTCTCCTAATGACTTGTTTTGGTGATCAGGTTATCCAGATGCATATCTTTGGTTATCTCTTGGTTTTTGTGGTGCCTTTGGTATTATGCATCATGAATTTGGTGTGGTTTGGTAAGATTGTTAAGGGATTAAGGAAAACTTTAGCGAAAAGCCAATGATGGATGGATGGATGGATGGATGTTGTTAGGAGAAGTGAATCCAGGTCTTGCTTTTGCTTGGTCTAATATTTCTGGGCAACATTTTGTACTCTGTCTTATATAAATGCTGGAAAGAAGGTAGAAGGAAAAAAAAAAATCAAGTTTATTATATTTCCTTGTTGATGTAGATCGAATGGCTCCCATTATTGCCACACAAAAAGCTTTTTACTCCTATCCTAAAATAAGTCTCGATTTTTTACTTTAAATATCTCAAATTAATTATTATTTTTTATTTTCTAAGATAAATAAATATTTTTTTTCTTTTACCCCATTATTATTCATTTCTTTCAATTAATTATTCAATTACAAAAAGTCTCATTTTACTTTTTACTTTTTTTCTAAGAGTATTATAAATAAATACAAATATTATTCTCAAATTTTTAATTTAAAAATTAAAAAACAACAGTTATTTTAAAAAGGAGATAGTAACTTAATTATTCAAAAGGGTACTTTTCTGTGTTATATAAATTGACACAGCTGGTTTTTTTTTGACAAGGGTAATGGTTAGATAGTTAGAATGAGTTAATTGTTAGCAATTGAGATTCCTACTATGGTGAACATTTTACTCCTCTAATGAGGCACGCGGCCATTAAGCCGCAAGTTGGCGGAGTTCACAGTGGTAGTAGGGTTCGAAACCTTGACCTTCACTTTACCCAAGTCCTTACCTCCGTTTCACCCAAGCTCTAAAGCTTGGGGCGAACTATTGGGCCTCAGGCCCGATTCGCACGCAGCTGGTTTCTTTACCAGAAATTGCAGAATCTTCTTAGACCAAAATCCATTTCAGCTTGGTTCATAAACTGCAAATCATGTTGATTTTTACCTAAAGCTGACGTTCTCTAATTAAATTTGACCACATGGATCACTAATTTCATGGTGGGTCTCCTGCACCAAAATGCACAGACTGAAAACAAATTCCACACCAACCAAACAACCTAAAGTACCAAGTGTATCAACTTGTCTGACAAATAAAAGATTTGGAATTTTGGTGTAAAATCCCAAGGGTGGGACGATTACCTGATCATTGTGCAAGTGGACACGGTAAAACGTGTAGATAAACAACCAAACTCTCGCAACCTGCAAAAATTATTTTACTGCTTTAAGACATTTCCTCCTCTTTTTTAAAAAAAAATTTTTTATTGTACAATGAAAAGTAACTATCTTTTAGCATTTATCTCATTTAACTCTATCCGCATGTGATGCGACTCGAACTCATAATTTATTACTTCCAACAAAAAAAAAAATAATCTCTAAATTATTTAGGTCGTTAGCATATTTTTTCTTCTTATTCTCTCTTATTCTCTTATGTTTTTTTCCTTGAGGAATGGGAATTAGTGGGACAAGTAGCAAAGAATGTCCTTATTGAAAATTGAAGTGAAGTTAAAACTTACCAGCTAGGCAACAAAGATCACCACCCTGCTTAATATGTAAACCTAATTAATTCGGCATCTTGTGACTCGTCAACAATTGATTTGAGATGCATCGAGTTTCTATTATAGACAATGAGACTCAATTTTACATAAAAACTATAATTTTTTAAAACTAGAAATGTTTCTTTATTGTATGCCCTACACTTAAAGTTTCAGTGAGTTAGAAAAGATAAAAATACTCTTAATAGATTAAAATGTATGAAGATTTATTAATGATATTTTTATTTTTTTCTCTTCCCAAACAGATGTTTTTAAATGCAATTCGCTCCAAAAAAATCACTTTTTAAATAAAATTGAACAAGTTAAGATAACATAGGGATTAACTGTTTAATAGTTTTTTTAAATACACAAGTTAAAAATATATTTATTATATTTTTTAATTAATTTAGATAAAATATATAAATATTGACTTGATTTTAATTAATTAACTAATTAAAAATATTTACATTTTTTTAATAGTGGTAAAATGGTATAAAGACAGAAGACATCAAAACTTCAAAACTGATTAATTTGAAATTAAAAAATATATTTACATAACAATATTATTAAAATAAAAATAAATTTTTGTATTTTTTAGGTAAAATAATTAAATTTTTTTGGTATTTTAGTCCTCCATCCCACAAGTTAGACAACCCTCTATTTGCACGATATATATATATATATATATATATATTGGCAATTAACACTTCAAATTAATTTTCGTCTTGATCAACACTTTTTATAATTTAAATTTGTGAAAAATGTTAAATTACGGACAAAATTATGGTACAAATAGGAGGTTTGACCACAAAACTAAAATGCAAATAAAGGATTTGACCATAAAATTTTGAGTTTTTCATGAGTTTTGAATAGTGAAAAGTGTTGACCAAAATAAAAATTAATTTAGGATGTTAAAAATTAAATTAAGGTGCTAACGTAAAAAAAGTGTACAATATAAATAGAAACTTTTACCTTCATTTAATACCCTTTAGAGTTTAGCATGCAAATATGCTCATTATTTTTTTATTGTAGTAATGGATAAGTTGAGTTTAATGTAATTTTAAGTTGGAATTTTTTAACTTCTGCTCTAAGGTTACATATTAAATCTCATTAAATATAATATTTGTAATTAATTTTCTATAAATTTTTATATCAAATTTAATTAAAATAAAATATAAAATGTAAAAATAAAATAAAATATAAGAGTACTCAAATTTTTTTAAAAAATATGAATCTGATATAAAAATTTGTATTAAATTAATTATAAATATATAATTAATAAAAATTAAATTATATTATGAAAAAACAAGTTAGATAAACCTTGTTCAATTTACACATTGAGTGTGTTTAAGAGAGGATTTCTCTCATTTTACCTCATGGTAAGCTATCAATCCCTTTTCAAGGGGTCTTCTCTTCCCTGGTCAGCCTTGCATTTAGAGAGTTGGCCCCTTTTTTACTTTTTGGAATATCCTGTGAAGCAATAATCTATCCATTAAACATCTAGTTACAGGATTTCATGATAATCACGGGAGTGTCTCAACAAACAGTCATGGCGACAAAGTCTTACCAAAATCAGGCTCAGGTGCCGCTCAAGAACTACTTGCTAGCGGATCTGTTCATTCCAAACACTTCCATCCTAACTGGCATACTTGCTTGCAAAGTGGTACATTCAATCTTCTTTTATAAATGTCAAATTTCTTTAAATTAGGGCCATCTGCCTGTTCAATGGAGCATGCAGTTATGCATGTCCTGGTAATGAAATTAGTTAATCTAGTTCAAACTTCTTAACACCTTGTATGGTTTCAGATTTTCTTCTCATATAATTTTTCCTTTCGTTAGCTCACTACTCAAGTTTTTCCTGGCCAATTAGGCCTATGAGCCTACTCAATTACTCAGTAGTGTCTATGTCAAGACTTATGCTGGTCTTACAAAAATGCAGAAGATAGAGTGGAACAAGCCGTAAGCATGTTACTCTAATCAAGTTTAACCTTTTCCTTTGTCTAAAAGCACAATTTGTTGCTACACTGATGAGCAATCTACTTTGGCAGTGTTATCTCTACAATTCATGCCACTTTTATCACAGCAATGTCATTGTATCTAATAGTTTGGTTGGATCTCTTTTCTGATCAACAGCTTGCTGCTCTTGTTACCTTCCAAAACTCACTACTATCAACATTTGGTTTGGGCGTAAGTGATTTTGTTTGTATCATCCTCATGCAGCTTCCTCTTAGCATTTAGTTCATAATGGTGGCACATTTATCTTTTCTTCCAAAAAGGGTGGAAGGAGCTCAGTTCCCTTAAATAAGACATCAAGTTTGAGTTTTGTGTATAAAAAAATAGGTATTGAGAGAGCTTTTTCGTATGGGATCTGATACAGCTCGATTCTAGATTTTGGATTAATCAGGGTCCAATATGGCTTTTGGATACCAGGAGGTTAGTACCAAAAATGCATGTTGAGGGTGGATCTCTTCCTTAAACTCATTCAGAACTTTCCTGGATAAATTTGCTCTACCAGCTTATACTTCAATACCTATGGTGTACTCTTGATGAATTATGATGCTTGACAGGCATCTGTTGGGTACTTCCTTATGGATCTTGTAATGATTTTGTGGCTATATCCTTCTTGGTGGGGAATAGAATATGTAAGTGTATCTTACTCTGGTTTGTGTTTATGACACTTCAACTAGTTGTTCATATGCATGAAATAGTAAGCATTTGAGCAACCCCTGCAGTGTTTCTATCTTTTTATTGGTGTGGTGATGAGTAAGGTTTCAGAACAGGAGAATGTTTAAAACATGATGTTTGGTGGGTTAACAAAATCACTGTCAAATATAACAGGGCAAGTTCTTAAGCTGCTATTTTAGTGCATTCTATGAGGCATGCAGTATACCTTACAACGTGTTAGCATCTTATTTCAGGTTGTCCACCACTTCTCTTCGAAAATTGCAGTAGCATATTCAATGTTCACTGGAGAAGCAAAGCTTTATACATGCATGATTCTCATTTCTGAGGTCACAATTCCCGAGATTCATATGAGATGGTAGGTTATGACAAGTTGAATTTAGCTTAAGTTTCGAAATTCTGACTTAATTATGTCGTGGATCTTGAGATGGCTGGGATGAAGAGATACAGTGCATATCTCATTAATGGTGTTGTGATCTTTTTTGCATGGCTGGTGAGTTTAAATTCACTTTGATTATCAATATGGACATAGTTTGCTATTTGTCTGTCACATTCCTCAAGGAAAAAGAGAGAAGAAAAGAGAATGTCTTAATTAGGCAGTCAAAATTCTTTCCTCATTCATGTAGAGACATAAAATTTTCATTGTAGGTTGCAAGAGTTTTGCTGTTTATTTACATGTTTTACCGTGTCTACTTGCACCATGATCAGGTAATTGTCCCACCCCTGAGATTTGACACCAAAAGTCCGAATCTTTTATTTGTCAACCAAGCGTCTCAGCTTAGTAACATTTCTGTAATTTTGAGATTTTCAATTATGGTCTGCACCAAAACTGGTTCACTTACTAACAATTCCAATTGTCAATAAGCATAAGGTTTCCATATTTTCCCCTTTATTTTTGCTCCGTCCCCATCTGTCTCCTAATTGCTTGATTGTGGGTGAACAGGTTATTTAGATGCACACCTTTGGTTGTGTCTTGGTTTTTGTGGTGCCATTGGTATTAGGCATCCTGAACTTGGTGTAGTTTGGTAAGATTGTTAAGGGATTAAGGGAAACTCTAGCGAAAAGGCAATGAAGGATGGATGAATGTTGTAAGAAGAAAAGAATCCAGGTCCTGCTTTTGCTTGGTGTAACATCTTCCGGCTTCATTTTACTTCTAAGTTATTTAAATGCTGGAAGTAATGAAGGTAGAAGGAAAAAAAAAATCAAGTTTATTGTATTTTCCTGTTGATGTAGATGGAATTATTGTAAATTGCTGAACACTATAGACCTGTTTAGCGATCTGATGGATTTGTGTATGGAAAAATTCAAGAACTTGGATTTTCGAATGAAGACAGTGATGAAAATACAGGTCTGAATTTTTGTTTTTCCAGCCTTTCTCATCACATTCATTCATCTCATTTTTCATACATAAGCAGCTTATATAAAGAATCGGATTACATTGCTCAGAATCCCTTCAAAAGAACAAAGAATAACATTTAATGTTCATGGAAGGGATTGATCCATCGGTAAGAATTTAGTTTAATTTGTAGAATAAGTTTAAAGATAAAATCTTGGAACTAATACTTAAAAAAATTAATTTTTTTAAATGTATTACCCTAACGCGAGCTATACATCCTTAAAATTATCTTTTAAAAGTAGTTTTAAAATAAACAAAAACTAAGGATAGTTAAAGATATTTGATTAGAAATAAAAAAAATAAATAAAAAAATAACAATTAACGTTTACTGCATTGATGTTTACACCACTCCATTACTGCCAACTGCCCTTTATCCCTTAGATATCCAATACCTCCAACCTCCAACCAAGTTTTAATGTCAAACATTCAATACACAGAAGTACACCTAAGACATTAATCAACCACCTACCTCTAACACAATCCACCAAATGATCAGTTCAGCTTTGCCTTCAAAAAAATTTCTTGTATTAGCATGAATGCAATACCCTCCCCCACCGTCCCCGTATGAAATAATGTGATGCATTGTATTATATAAGAGTTTGCTTTGCTCTCCCATGCTTTTATCAAATTCTATTTGTTTTAAGGTTTGAACTTGAGACTTATTACATAGAAATATTTTATATTAAATATTATTGGGGAATAGCCCAACATCTATAGTGAACTCTATTAGTAGGCCTATTTGCATACATCGGCATGCCTAGTCAAGGATATCCTAAAAGCAGCTCAAAATGTGGGCACCCTCACCATGATATGCATTTGTAATTGGTGACATCTAAGTTGACTAAATGACTATACGTGAGATATTTTGTCATTAATGGAGGTTATTAATACTTCCATCTACTCCTATGCAAAATAATAACTTCACTACATTTTTCTTTTTATAATTACTCTTCTTTAAAGCCTCTCTCTCTAAATTATAAAATATTACTAATTTTAATTTATACATCGAAATGTTTTTCTCGAAAAAACATCCTCAAGCTTTTTAAGTATCAAAATAGTTAGAGATCTTTACCGTGGAAGTTTGTGAAGTTGTCCAAACAGATATGTTTACTTGACCACAATAGATTGATAAATCATAGATTTTCTGCGTTAAAAGTGGAGGACAAAAATAAGGAGGAAGGCTCTAAATTTCCTTCCTTTTTTATTTTTATTTTTTATTTTCTTCAATCCATAGCAGATAACTGAGGTCTTAGAATCAAGAGACTTGGAGGAAGAAGAGAAAGGAAAGCTTCGAAACAATAAACTTCACCATCATACCAAATAATAATAATAATAATAATAATAATAATAATAATAATAATAATAATAACTTCACCAAAACAACACTACGACATTTATGCATGAAAAACTGGAAGAAGCACATGCATGAATCAAAAATGGTGGTGAGGAGTTAGGTAGATTAAAGAGGCAAAGCTATTGCACCAGTACTAAACATTTATATATATCTTATAATGAATTGTACAATAGATAGTGATTTTAGCACATATATTATATATTTAGTCTTCAAACATCAAGAGTTACATTCATTGGTAACCAAGTACCGTTTGTAGATTATGTATAAAATTTAAGTTTTGAAGTTAATATTTAAAAAAATTAATTTCTTATTCTAACTCGCTTAGAATACTTTGAAAGTAAATACCAAGATGAAAATATATTATCTTCATTCTCCAGTCCAGCACGTATTTGTAATCTGATAGGATGAGGACGATACCATGGCGACAAAATACTTTCAAAGCTCGTAAAATAAAACATGAAACATCCTTAAAACACTCTCCCAATCCCATCTTTAAGGAAAAGGAAAGAAGGGCAAGTACAGTTCATGAGTTGTAAGTCTTAAATTATGTTTAGATGTATGTAGTTGGAAAGTGGTCTGCGACTCTGTAATCCAATATCTACTAATTGTTTAGGGCTTTGCCTTTTAATTAATTTCCAAATGAAGCAAATCGACTGTGATAGTTGACTGGCCGGGGAAGTGCGCGGTTGAGTCAGCATGTGGTCTCCGGAAAAGCTGTAATGGTCCAAGATTCTGGCTCTTGCTAGTCATATCCCATTAACGATGGCCACTATCTCCTTTGATTCTCTAACTATATATTCTTGGAGGTGTGATTGCAATAGTAGACGGAGGTATGTGTGTTATAAAATATTTAAAAAAAAGTGACACATTGGTCGATTAAGAATTTAAGATTTTAAATTAATAATATTTAGTTTTAAATTTTGAGTTAAGTGGTAAGAAATTTAAGGAAAAAATAGAGTTATTTTTTTTTATATACAACTCATTATTATCAAATGTATCAAAAAATATCAATGCAAAAAAATAGAAATTATTAAATAACGTATAGCCTCTAATATTAAGAATTTTATTTATAAATTGTGTAATTTAAAATTAAATTGTATAATTTTAAATTATATAATACTTTTTGAATGTAATATATTATTTTTGTAACAGCATATAATTTTGAGGAATAGTAATTCAAACTTAAGTCACCTTAACCTAAAATGTGCACTTTCGAACTAGTTAGGCGAATAGCTTAGATGCATACCATTTTCATAAACATGTGTATAAATATTATAGGACATTAATATTATCAATTAGACTTAAAAAAAATTAGTTAAAAAATATTTTAAAACTATAATCTCAAAACATGTTAGAACTAATTTAATTAATTATATTTATATTATATTTTAATAGATAAATTAGATGAATGTTGAAAGTTGTGTTAAATTAAAAAGTTTACTAATTATAATTTTTTTATTTTAATCTTTTTAACAAGAGTTTATGGACTTAATAGAGTTTTAATTTGTTTTATAATTAATTTTTCAGATACCGAGAATTATTATTTGCAGTGAAAAATTGGTCCAAAGCTCTGTAAAAGAGGAATACCCCGTACGTACCTTGCCTTGCAATCCACTCTAATGTCATCCTTGCCACTTTACATGAAATTCAATAAGCATAACTCCCTCTTTGTTTTGCTTCAACAAATTTAATATGGAGCACGCCTATCATCTCCATTTACCCCTTCTCTCTCTTATTCATTCCACAAGCACCACCTGCTCTCAGTAATATTCATCCAAACAATTTAACTTGTCGATGCAACATTTATTCCATTAGATCATATTACAGGTGCCCTAGCTAATTTTACTTTAGAAACAAGCTTTAACCCATGTTTCCTTAATTCCACCTATAAATAGAGGCTATAATCGATACAATCCATCTCTAAACACAAAGAAAAGGTTTGCCAATGGCATCATATTTCTCCATCATCACCAACATTGTATCCTTCCTTACGATCATTGCGCTTTGCAATGTCAATCAAACCCTAGCAAGGCACAAGAACCCTAATAGTTCATCATCTTTGTTTGTCTTTGGTCTAACCCATTCTAGTTCTTCCCTTCCCATTCCGAAATCTTCTAGATACTTAACAAAGCCATCCCAACCATTAGATATGATGGAGTCATTGAGGGAAGTGACGGATGGGTATTTGATATCTTTGAACATTGGAACCCCTCCACAGGTCATTCAAGTATACATGGATACTGGAAGTGACCTAACTTGGGCTCCTTGTGGCAATCTATCCTTTGATTGTATTGATTGCGATGATTATAGGAACAACAAGCTAATGCTTGTTTTCTCCCCTTCTTATTCTTCTTCTCTTGTCAGAGATACCTGTGGCAGCTCCTTTTGCTTTAACATCCATAGCTCTGATAATCATTTTGATCCATGCACCATGGCAGGATGCTCCCTGAGTACCCTACTCAAGAGCACTTGTTTTAGACCATGCCCTTCTTTTTCTTACATGTATGGTGGAGGAGGGGTTGTCACTGGAACACTAGCAAGGGATACCCTTAAGATTCATGGAATCAGTAACAATTCTGAAGTTAGGGACATTGCTAGGTTTTGCTTTGGATGCATTAGGACTACTTATAGAGAACCTATCGGAATTGCAGGATTTGGTAGGGGTGCACTTTCTTTGCCTTACCAATTAGGGTTTCTTCAAAAGGGTTTTTCTCATTGTTTCTTAGCCTTCAAGTATGCAAACAACCCTAATATTTCCAGCCCTTTAGTTCTAGGAGATGTTGCCATTTCTTCCGAGGACAATTTGCAATTCACCCCAATGTTGAAGAGTCCAATATTGTACCCAAATTACTATTACATTGGTCTAGAGGCCATAACTGTAGGAAATTATACTACTGCAAATGAAGCCCCTTTAAACTTGAAGGAATTTGATTCACAAGGCAATGGCGGAATGATCATTGATTCAGGAACAACTTACACTCACCTTCCTGACCCTTTCTACTCCCAACTCCTCTCAACACTTGGATCGATGATACCACATCCTAGAGCCACAGAATTTGAAATGAAAACAGGGTTTGATCTCTGTTACAAGGTTCCTTGTCCAAACAACACATTTAGGAATGATGTTTTCCCTCCAATCACTTTCCATTTCCTAAACAATGTGAGCCTTGTCCTGCCCCAAGAGACCTGCTTCTATGCCATGGCTGCTCCAAGCAACTCAACCGGGGTGAAATGCCTACTTTTCCAGATCATGAATGATGGCGATTACGGTCCAGCAGGAGTTTTTGGGAGCTTCCAGCAGCAGAATGTGGAAGTTGTGTATGATTTGGAGAAAGAGAGAATTGGGTTTCGTCCAATGGACTGTGCTTCAGCTGCTGCTTCTCAGGGCCTTCACAAGAACTAGCTTTATTAATTTTTGTTAGTTAATGACATTTCTTCTTGTCAGTGGGGACATTTTCTATTCTACCATGGTTTGAAAAATATAGAAGCTCATTTGCTTCTTTTCTTTTCCTTTGTTGAAGTTATTTTGTATTGGACAAAGTCTAGATTTGGATATTCTGTAAGGTTTTTGGATTTATAAAGAAATTGAGGCGGGATTTATTCCCACTGCTTAGCAAAAGGGAAACAGAAAGTGGTGGAACAACTTCAATAACAACAATATGACATAAATTTTTATGATGACGGTGTGGGAATCAATCATTAGATCGTTGTTGGTTGTCTTTATTTTCAAAGCTATAGCAAGGATGTTCTGGCCACAAAGAAAGGGGACAAAAACAACAGCTAGAATGAATTGGCAGTCATGGGCCGGGGGTGGGGGGTGGTGGTGGGAAGTAGAATGTTCTTGAGCAACATTTTGAGTTATAAACTCATAACGCAGCTGTGTACCCAATAACATGAACCTGGGATTTGATAATGCAAAAACCATTAATCTAAGACTAATTTGGTAGGAATAAAAACGACAATTACTCTAAAACAAAGGGTAATTAATAGTACCAGCGGCTAGCATGATAAGGATAGATCTAAAATGGATTAGAAGGTTATTCACTTTTGAAAATGAATAATTACAAGTCCTTTTGGTATTAGTGAACCATAATCACTTCTTAAGAACAAAGATGTGGCAACTCTTGGACATTTGTAATAAAATTTTCAGAACAAATGGAGGCACAACGTCCAAGAACAAGACCTTTATCCAATTCATAGTTCTCTTACTAAAGGGGCTAAATCTAAACCCTAACTAGGAGAAAAATCAAGGCTTTAGCACACTGTGAAAAACATTACTTATAGAATGCGATGAAGCAAAATATTTTATTCATTTGAACATGCACCATATATGAAAGAAAATATAATGCACCATGTTAATTACAAGAGAAGTCAACATCCAAAGTGATTCAGCAGTTGATAAGGAGCAATCTAGACAAACATGAATGTACATTTCTGAATCGATAGTACAAAGACAACAGAGGCTAAGAAAGATGAACTTCAACTGTAGGGAGTTACTTAGAAGTTGCAGGCAGACAGCAACAACCACCGCCTAGATACCTACGAGCAACAGGATGCACTTGCTGTCCTCTCCGCAGGTCTATCCATCAGAACCATCCCGGCTGGATTTTGTGCTGGCTGCACTCGAGGTAGCCTTTTTGCTGTAACACACGTCAAAAAACTAAATAACCAAATTCATTCATAGTATAATTGTTGCACGCATTTGAAACTGCTAAACACATGGGCAGGGATAAGCCAAACTGTCCAAACAGGATGTCCATACCAGTTTAAATTCTCTCCCAAAATAAATAAAGTAACAAACTAGAACAAATGAAGTACCTATTTCATAGAAAACATCATTAACATTAGCTGCAGTTTTGGCAGAGGTTTCCATAAAGAAAAGGCCATTCTCTTGTGCATATGATTGTGCTTCCTGCACTCAAAGAGGTCAAAATTAGAACTCAAATGAAGAGTTAAGAAAGTTCTAAGGCTGAAGTTTCTCCAAATTCAACCATTCGCCATGAGTTGCGAAAATGTGTACAGGCAAGGCGATGTTGGGGGGAGTGGGAAGGAAATGATGCTTCATGTTCAGGAATTCTAATCTAGGGAATCAAACCATACCTTAAAATCCTCAGAATTTATGGATGATTGGTAGTAAAGGTATTTTAAAGAGATACAAGAGTGATAAAAACTCAAACCATAAACAGTTCTAAAGTTTGTTATACTTGCCTCTGCTGTCACCTTCCTTGCATCTAGCAAATCAGCTTTGTTCCCAGCAAGAGCCATAACCATATTTGGATTGCCTTTCAACAAAAAGAATCAAGTAAAACATATCAAGCTATAAGAATCAAGTTTCTCAATAGAATTTGCATAAATCCATATCACATAATGAGAAACAAAAAGCATATTTAAATGGGCTAAAATGACCAAAAATAAGAATCTCAAGGGATGCTCAAGAATGTAAGTGGTACCTTGTGCTTGAAGTTCTTGGACCCATTTCTTTGCCCTTTCAAATGAGTTCTGCAAGAAAATAAGAAAGTCAGGATGCTGCTGTTTGTATAATAAATCATCACCGAAATATTTAACATATTTCCACTTGCAACAAACCATCAGGTGCCAGTGGTTTACAGCCAAAAGAAGCTAAATAAAATATAAGACCAGACTAAGAACAATCCTCGACAGAATCTTTATCTGACACACAATGAACATGTCCACTATGCCTTTAACAGGAGTCTCTCTACTGGCATTAGAGCTTCCCAGGAAGACTTTTTTTCCTAATATTCTTTAAACATAATTATGTACAAATAAACCATGCATACGAAGTCAAGTAAAGAACAATTAGATAGGAAAGCCTCTTTAAGATTACAGTACCAAAACCACTTCCACATTCTATCAAATTTCAGAGGAAATGTTTATTGCAATTGGCTTTGGATTAAATGACTCTCTTCTGCTCTTATTTTTGATGAAATAACAGCAAAATCAAATAGAAAACAAAAGAAAGGTTTTAACAACTTTGAACTAAAAAAATTCCTTTTTCACTTCACCAAAAACTGAACCTTATAAATAAAATATAATATGTGGTAGTGGTATCTTTAGAAAGCACACCAAAAACAATCTTGTACAAGAGAAGAGGAACTTTTGAGTCCCCAGGCATCACTGCATATATCAGAGGCTCCAATAGTTTTCATGCTTCATTGCAGCTCACACTCAACAAATATGAAACTACATGTGGTTCAAAATTTTCCAAGAAAAAGGGAGATAGACAATACTCTGGGTTCATTAAAATCCACTTACTTGATTTGTTATGTCATACACAATGATTGCAGCGGCAGCTCCTCTATAGTACATTGGAGCCAAGCTATGGTATCTCTCTTGACCAGCTGTATCCCAAATCTCAAATTTTACTGTTGCATCATTGACAGCTAAAGTTTGGGAGAAAAATGCAGCACCTATGGTTGACTCCTACATAATCATAAAATATAAAATTTAGGGAAATTTCTTCTTCTTCTTTTCTTTTTTTTTAAGAGTATTTTTCTCTTGCATCCTATTTGGATTTGCTAGATAATTTTCATTTCTTTATTTTCAATCCCATCTTTAGTTAACCATTTTGTTTCCTTTTTGCATTTTAGGTAGATATTTATACGTTTAAAAAACAATTCTAACCAAAAATACATAGCTGAACCAACCTGAAATTCAACAAATTGACCTTTAACAAAGCGCAATACAAGACTAGACTTTCCAGCTCCAACATCCCCAAGCAGCACCTGAAAAGTAAAATAAATATAAATAAAAGGACATATATAACCAAAAACACGTGTCCAAGGATTTCAAGCTAAAAACAAGAAACCCCATACACCAGACCAATTACACACCATACAGAAACAAAGAAATTAAAGAAAAAAGAAACAGCTAAAATTAGAAGATGTATAACACTGTATAGGAGTAATGAAATCATCAAACCAATCACTTACACAATAAATTTTGCACCAAGTTTATTCTAGACAGCTAAACTAAAAGGTAAGATGCATGTCATTTCAAGCAATCAAATTATCAAAAACTACACAAAGTCAAGTAATCATTCCATCAAAATCAATGCAATGAAGTAGCTGGTATCAACAGAGTGTCTAAAGGGCGTACCAACAGACATAAATATGTAATAAAGGAAGACGGTAGCAGCTCATGGAAATAAACACACAGGAGTACAATCACCCTAGCTCGATGAAAGAATATTTAAGAAAACTCTAGCTTTAGCAGCAGTAAGACAAAAGGAATAAAATTTTACCAAAATTTGAAAGACCATTGGCTATCAAAGAAAAATGATCATCTTATTTCCATTGAAAATGCAAAATTGTCGAGAGATCCTTGGGAATTATGCCAGACCCAAACTAGAGTTTCACAAAAGAAGCATCCTTTGCAGTTAAGTACACAATTAAAGATTCTTGCTAAGATTTTTAGACTTGTACAGCACTAAACCCCAATCAGCTGCACAAAACTTGAACAAATAAATAAAAAGGGGCATAATCCATCCGCAAGGACCGCAACTTCATACTAAAGAGTAAAATTCGCATCAAATTTATGTCAATCAAAACAAAACAGACGAGATTAAAGCAAGAAAACCCACATCAGAATCGATTTTGGGTTGCAAAGGTTGAAAATTTAACTAAACTTATTCAAGATAAAAAAGACACATGATCATGATCTACAACCAAAACAATACCCAACTCAGAATTCAGCAAGAACCCACATAAAAACCATCCAGAAACGAAAAACCCAAACCAAGCATACTAGCAGAATAATCGAAAACGAAAAGGGTTCAATTCAAATCAATCAAAACACTGACCAATTTAGCGTTGATGTTCTTGTTCCCAGTGGTGGCCATGATGGGTTTAGATTCAAAAAACGGGATCAAGCGAATTGAGGAAGAAATGGGAAGGTCTGATTGCAGGCGTTGACGCTGAAGATGGAGGAAGAAGGAAGGCTGAGGTAGAAGAGAGCAAAAGGGTAAAGGCAAAGGGAAGGATCCTCCTCAACCAACTTTCTCTCCCTACCCAGCTTACACGAAAGCGATTGGTAATTTTATTTTCTATGATGAACTTTAGTCATTTTTTGCAATTTTTGTAGACTGCCACGTAGTGCATAATTTGCATGGGTAATACTTGATCTTTTATGTATGTTTAAATTTGGTGTCAAAGCTTTTAATTGCTGTAATCATACTACACTCATCTTTTTCTTGTTGTATATGCTCTAAAATATTAATTATTAAAATAAGGGGCTCCTAATAATATGAGAGGTTCTCCCATTTAATGAATAGTGTTTTGTATAATACAATTTAAATTATAAAATATTAAAATTTAAAAATAATTAATTAAAGTAATTAAATTTAACTAAATAAAATTTTTAATAATATTGTGTGAAGAAGCAATTCCAAATTGTCTTAAAAATTTACTCAAATTACAATAGTTTATACTTTATAGTTAGTCAATGAAGGGTTTTGGGGGAATAAGTTGAGATAGAATTTTTAAATCCACCTCTCAAATAAGAAGATAGAAACAGATCTACTCTTAAAAAATGCATGAACAAATTATCATTCTAAATTATTAATCAAAAGAAATAATTTATTATTTAACATATGACATCATTATATGTAAGAATCTCATTTGTCATTTAAATATTTTTTAATAAAAAGTTAATGTATGAGACGTCACACATTAAATAATTAATGATTTGTTTTAGTTAATAATTTGAAAAGATAATTTATTTTTATATATTTTTAAAGAGCAAATTGTCTTTACCATCTTATTTGAAGGACGGATTTAGAGATTTTGGCATAAGTAGATATATCCATTACCTTTCCATTCTCTATTTCTCAATATACCAAATAACAGGGAAATTGTGATTCAATTGAAACAATTTAAGAGTTGAGACCATTTAATTTGACCATGTAAAGAATAGACCTTGTCAAAATAAAGATAGGAAGACCAATTGTGATTATTCGTACAATGTACGCCTTGTCAACTTCCTTATTCTTTTCCACGTGGCAATATTGGAGCCGTTTAAATTTAATTTAGAATTGGTAACTTCGTTTCAAAATAAAATTTTTTTTCTACATTGTGAAT